CGGCACCCCAGAAAGAAAATCGTATCCTGAGCTGTATCAAAAGGAGCGTGGCCAGCAGGTCGAGGGAAGTGATTCTGCCCCTCTACTCAGCTCTCATGAGACCCCACCTGGAATACTGTGTTCAGCTCTGGAGTCCCCAGCACAAGAAGGACATGGAACTACTGGAGTGAGTCCAGAGGAGGGCCATGAAGATGATCAGAGGGCTGGAGCACCTCTCCCATGAAGACAGGCTGAGAGAGTTGGGGCTGTTCAGCCTGGAGAAGAGAAGGCTTCGGGGTGTTCTTATAGCAGCTTTCCAGTACTTAAAGGGGACCTACAGGAAAGCTGGAGAGGGACTTTTTATAAGGGCGTGTAGTGAATAGGACAAGGGGCAATGGATTTAAACTGAAAGAGGGCAGATTTAGGTTAGATATAAGGAAGAAATTTTTTACATTGAGGGTGGTGAGGCACCGGAACTGGTTTCCCAGAGAAGTTGTGACTGCCCCATCCCTGGCAGTGTTCAAGGCCAGGTTGGATGAGGCTTTGGGCAACCTGGTGTAGTGGAGGATTTCTCTGCCCATGGCAGGGGGGGTGGAACTAGATGATCTTTAAGATCCCTTCCAACCCTAACCATTCTATGATTCTATATGAACTGTCCAGGGAGCTTGAAGTTGGGGAAAAAAACTTCTAAGTGTATGGAGGTTATTACAGTTACTAGAGGTATGCCATAGAACAATCAAAGATAATTTGTACCACCTTGATCTTAAAAGCTGAACACCTAAGGAATACCAAAGCAACTTCAATCTATGTGTAAGAAATCTCATGCCTTAAATCCAGAGTAGGATTTATCAGCATCACTAATTCTTGACTGCAGTTCATTCTGGCTCTTAAAACTGTCTAGAAGACTGCTCTACAAGTGCTAGAATGATTTGTACTTTTTCAGATATAATTTGGGGGGTGGGGTGGTCAAAGGGACTCTCTTCCTGGACAAATTTTTTTAAAAAAGTAATTTTTTTTGTTCTTGAGTTTCAGTGGATTTTATCACTGTTTTACTGATTTGTTAAATATGCCTTACCTTAAGAAGACTACAAGTATTTTTGTTTTCTGAATTCAGAGAAAGTGTAAACTCATCTGAATCGTATTGGGCACAAATGTTTCTTTTTTTAAGCTGCATTCATAGAACCAGCTCTGACAAAGCAGTAAGTTCCAACTTTTTGCATTGAAGTGTATTGTTACAGCTCTGCAGAGAATCCCCTAGAGTAATCTGTCTGTGCAGAGTTACTTCTCCAGTGAGTGCAATCTGTTTGATACTGAATTAATTCCAAACTAGTCATCAGGTTTGTCTCAGTACTTTTGATTGTCATCACTTGGTAAATTCTAAAGAAATAGCAAACCTCTTTTACAATTACCATACTATAAGTGTACCTGATGTACTATCATACTGTCACTACCCAAATATCTGAATCTTTCCTGGGGGGAGGGGGGCTTCAGTACATTGGGAGAGTCAAGACTATTTTAGCCTATGAGAAACTGAGATCTGAGGCTGAGCTTTCTGATAAAGGGTTCTTCATTTGCAAAAGCTTGTGACCAGTCATGAAGTTCTGATGAAAACTTGAAGGCCTGTTGATCCTCAGTACTACCCAAGCAGAGCTTGGGAGGTTCTCTAAAATAATGTTTGCATTTCCTGTTTTATGTGAGCTTAATGCTTGTCTTTTGGTTTAAAGGGAGAGGCAGAGGGTAGCCACTAAAGTTGTCTCATTCCAGTGACTCAAGGAGGTGCAATACATCTGTGTTTTTATTTTCTTGTTGTAATATTTGAAGGTGCTTTTGGTGTATTTGGTCATCTGTGCTTTTTAGAAAGCACTGGGTAGAGGGTATTTAAAATACAGCTGGTCACTTGTGTTCTGACTTGTTTAAGGAGGAGTAGAAGACTTCAGTTCTTCTGCAGTTGTCTAGATTGAGATTTAGGGGAAAATGGCTGCTGTGGAATTGTTTAGAAATCCAGAAATTTTCTGGTCAAGCTACAAATGAATTCTGACCTATTTTTGGATATAACTTGAGTAATGATCTGGTCAGACCCCTACACTTTTTTCATGAATAAATGCTGCAGATAGTAGCATGTTACACTCAGGACTCTGTAGGAACGCATGCGAGACTGCCCAGAGCTGTCTACTGTAATAAGTTAGTGGCACTGTGCTTTATTAGCTTGTATCAGCTGTTAAAATCTTTTATGCTTAGTCTTGACCACTGCACACACTTCTGAATGATTGATGCTTTTCTTTATTTGATTGCTTAGTGAAGAGTATGATTTATGAAAGACTAAGCCAGACTACCAGTTGAATCCAGGAATGGTAATGAAGCCTGATAAATTACTAAAAGCATCATCTTAGTCTAAGTGCACTGTTAAAGTGCACATAAATTTTTTGGACTGAATTGTCTTGCTCTAGGCGAGAATCTAAAATATCAGTAGTTCTGTGACAGGTATTTGAAGATGCTACGTTTAACTTTGATCTGTGTCCTGAATACCTGGTCTCAAACAGACAAGGCAGGATTTATAGAAAGAAATAGCAGTATTAGACCAACTGCTGTACCTGTATCCAAAAGAGTTTCTTCCCTCTTTTCCCATTTAGTCTTAAATAATCGCAGCAGCAATAGCAGCTCTCCTAGCAGTCTCAGCGATGCATATGGAGTTTTCATGTGCTTCAGCTGGCTGAAATTAATTTGGTATTCCTGCAGAAATACAAAACAGGATCTCTTGCTTGTGTATTAGAAGTTTCCTTCAGACTATTAATTCTCACAAGTCTTTTCACTTGACTGAAGTCTTACATCTTTTATTCTTGATAATTACAAGCCTGCTTTATATCTTCATATCTAGAACTTATTTTCTAAGAAAGAGGGAGCTTACAGTTCTGTTTCTTTGATTAATTTGACCAGGTTAACACACTGAGTTTTTATATGCTTTCTCAACTTCGTGAGATGCAAAGTTTAGAAATGATTGTATCTTTGGAGGGAACAGTTGCTTCTCATTAAATTCAATAACATAAGATCTGTTAAATATTTTGGTTGTTAGCACTGTGAATTATTTGTGCTGTCTTAATTGAAAGCAGGTGAAGGATGCATGTACCTCTCCCCAAGATTTGCTGTGTCCTGCTGCTTCAGGGGCACATGGGAGAGCTTCTTGAGAGAAGTTTTGAGCCACTTTTAAGTTGAAAATCAAAGTAAGTTCAGATTTACTGCTGTGGAAGATGTTGCCTCAATGAATTACTAGTAATGTGGAATAGCAAAAGGTAGATCATGTCAAGTAATCTTTCTTTTAATACGTCTTTTGGAGAGTGTTATAAACACACATAGTGTAATGTGTTGCTGTGACATATATTGGTTTCATGCTTTAAGTTCAGAACCTTTCCAGGATAAAGGATGCTTGTGAGAGAAAAATCTATTTAATTGACATGGTGCTGATGGAAATCTGAGATGCTGAGAACGTGACAAAGATTTTTGACGCGCGGAGATGCTAAGATTTCCTTTTGTTAACGAATGAAGTGTAGCTCTGTGTTTATCCCCTGTTGTAAAATCTGGAGACTAATTTGAGGTTGCAGATATGCAAGTGAGGAAAAGTAAAACTTCTGCACCAACTGTATTGTTAGAATGAGACACTTCTTGGGAGTAATTCCTACTGTAATTACAGTAGTATATTTTAAACAATACATTTTTATCAATAACTTCTGGGTCTTGTGGAGTTTGGATCATTTAGTGTGTATAACCACGTTTTGGTGGGGTTATGAATGTGACAACAGAAACTTTTTAATGGGACTTTGTTGCTTGTTTGGGAGCATTTAATATTTTAAAATGTGTCAGTAGAGCCTGGCTGCAGTAATCAAACTGATTACTGATCTTCAAGGAAGATGTCAAGTAGCATGGCCTGTATCTGTAATGCAAATGCTCTGCAGTTATTTTGTGAAAATTGTGAATGTATCTTCCTTAACATGCATTAGGTTGGCACGTGTATGGTCTTTTGCAACGTTCTGATAAGAAATACGATGAAGCCATCAAGTGTTACCGGAATGCACTCAAACTAGATAAAGATAATCTACAGATCTTGAGAGATCTCTCTCTGTTGCAGATTCAGATGAGGGATTTAGAAGGATATAGAGTAAGTATTCTCTTTGATTTCTCATTTATTGTTGTTAGCATTCTCTTGTTATTCTGTTCCATTATTAAGTCTTTTATTGGTAGTAATTCTGTTGTTGCTTGTTTTAAGCTCTTGTTTAGGAAAGCATGAAAACATATTGCAGCAGAGCTCCATATAATGTTGAGACCAGAGCTAGAAGTACAGTTATTCTGTACAATTTGACTTGAACTAGAGTTTTACTAGGTGGTCCACAACTTGTTTTTCACTAAAATAGAGAAAATAAAGATAAGACTTAAAACTTAGCAAGTAGGAGTATTTACTGCACTATTGCAAAGTACTGCACATGGTATTTTGTGTGTAGGTACTGAAGGTGTTTTTTGTGAGAAATAAACTATTGTGTTTTTCAAGTATGTGGGAAACTTGCCCAATGGTGACTGATTTCTTGAATCTCAATAATGATTTTATCATAAATAAAGCCTTAAAATCTATTCAAAAACAGAGTTAGCGGATTCAAAATGGCGGAACTGATTTGGCGGTGAAAAGGAAGGGTCCTGCTCCTCTTCCATCCTCTGTTTTGTGTGAAGCAGGGGACTGGATTGAGGGCTTCAGCATTAGTTGGTATCCTTAACTGAGGATGTTGAATTTGCTAATGCAAGAAAAGGGAATAAGTGACTTGGGGATATGATTTGACTGAAGAACGGGGTCCAAGAAGTACGACAGCAGTGTGAGGACCTCGTGCCTGAGCATGAGGAGTAGAACTGCTCTTTTAGTGGTGGTGAGCTCGTGCTTTCTAATGGGAACTTCTCTCTGAGTTTTCAAAGCTCTATCTTTGGAAATAATTTAGACCCTTAAGAGGTACTCTTGAAAATGACACCTTTTGTGTCTCAACAAATGGATTTTATGCTTTGTGCCATGACTCCTATATTTAGAACGTAGGTCCCAGATTTATGAGATGGAAACATACTGCTTTTTTGCCATGCTGTTAAAATTTCAAAAAATGCCTTGGGCTTTTAAAAGATCTCTTAAAATATTAGCCATGCTGGTGGAAAATCATGATAAAGGTGTAGTAACTCTTCTTTAACATCTGTTACTTTGAAATTGTTTTTACTGAAGGAGACAAGATACCAGCTACTTCAGCTGCGCCCCACACAACGGGCTTCCTGGATTGGATATGCCATTGCATACCACTTACTAAAAGATTATGACATGGCCTTAAAACTGCTTGAAGAGTTTAGGAAAACCCAACAGGTAAGACTTTCTATTGTGGAAAGAGAATGCTTTCTGTATGAGAGAATCTGAGGAATTACATCGTCATAATTCGGAATAACTAATTAGGAACCAGTTAAGAATTCAGAAGAAATTTGTTGTTTGTAGAGCTTTCTGTTTTGAACAGAAAGATTTCCAGGAGCTTAGCAACTGTTTCAAATTACACAATGCTTTTTTTTCCTCCCCCTCACAAAAGACTGTTAGGGTTGAGAATATAAGGGTAGACTGATGCAGAGTAACTCAGTAACTCAATGTTTGAGACTTGTAGCCAAAGAAACCCTGTGATGATTCTGTCCCTTTACAGTAATACAACTTCAGAAAATGCTGTGTAGTGTTGGGTGTGCTCATTTGCCCTTTCCCCTGCCGTAGCCTGAATGCCGTTACATCTTGGCAAAGAATGTGAAGAGGAACTTTCATTGCTTTGTATGCATCTGTATATATTGCACTTAAAATCAATGCTTTATGTCAAAGTAACATGAAAGCATAGCTGAAAATTCTTTTTTTGAGAAGATTTGGTGTTTCTGAAACTTGTTGGAGTAAAGTGCTAAAATTGCTGAGTATGACCTTTTTTGAGAGAAACTATTCCCTTTCCCAATTCTGTTACTGGTAATATAGAACTATAAAGTCTGAATTAACAGAACAGAGTGGATATATTGATCGTTCTGTAACATGGAAAAAAACCCACATTTATAGATGCATTCAGCATGAGGCATACTGGAAGTATGTGTGAATACAACCTGACCTATAGATTGTGATTTTTTTTTTTTTTAGTAAAATTCATAATCATAGAATGGCTTGGATTGGAAAGGACCTTAAAAATCATCTAGTTTCAAACCGCTGCCATGGGCAGGGCCACCTTCAACTAGGCTAGGGTGCTTGCATCCTTTCTGAGATAACTGCATTTGAGATATTACACAGCCAGAATGGGACTAACAGTAAGAAAGGAAATTAATAATCACTAGGAGGGACCAATGTTTGTGTTTTGATCATGTATTGTGATCAAACAAAGGATGTTGCAAGCCAGGTGTATATAACTTGATGTTTCAAAAGAGCTGTAACTTCAGTGTTGGAATAAAAACTGAAAAAAAATAAGTTTCAGTGAAAGTTAGGTCATCTTTTATGAGCATTTGACAGCCAAAAAGTCATGCTGCTTGAATGAGTCAGCAGAGCCCAATCTGAGTTCAGTGTCAAAATGACTGTTTGAGTTATAAAGAATATATAAAAGATGGAAAAAACTGCAAATGAGGTGTAAGAAATTGAGGTTCTTTCAAAGACTAAGAGGGTTCCAACAGTGGAATTGGCCCCTTGAAAAGAATGGAAGTGATGCTGCTGATGTTCTTGCCTTTTCTAAAAGGTTGTGTGTAAATATGCTTGTTTGAGAGCAGTCATGATGATACGCTCCTCAATCTAGTGCCTAAGCCAAATTTAAATTCCATTTGCTATAGATGAACATGCTAAATTAGTTGAGTCTGCTATACAGGTTATCACAGTCTTAAATATTGCCCTTAAGCAAAGAAATCCTGAGAAGATCTCAAGCTCTAATTTCCAGTTTTACTAAAAAAATGGCATATTTGGAAAATTTCCTTAAATAGGAAAATGGTTTGTACTTGAACAATGAGCTGTTTAGCTGTTGATGAGCATAATATCAGTCACAGGAAACTGGTGGAAAAACTGGTTAAGCATTAAAGGATGGAAATACACTACAGGTGTTAGACAACATGAGTTCATAGAAAACTAGTTGTGTCAAGCCTTTCCTCTTTTTTTGAGATTGGTAGAGACATTTAAGTGATATATTGTATTTTCTCTCCCAAAACACTAAAAATAAGGATGACCACATTAGTTTAATTTCTCTTGCAAATAATCTTGTGCGTTACTGTGCTAGCTCCCTGAGGAATAACAGGCCGATATAGATCCCCAACAACTGGAAGAGAGAATCAATGTGTTGGGTCCAGAACAGTCAGGAAAGCCCAAGGAAACTTGCAGCTTGGTGATGTGTGGGTTTTTTTGTTGTTTTTGTTTTTGTTCACCACCCTTTGGCTCTTCCGCAATAGTCCCCAGATGTGCTGTTTTTGTGGTCTCTGGATGTTTAACAGAGCCATACTTAAAATAGTTGAGTTCAGGATACTCGTTGATCCTTGAGGAGGTACACTTCTTGCTTACTTCATTTTCCAAATCTCCCCTCTCCTCATCAATAGATGAACTTTCGTGACTAACTTGATAGAATATTGCATGTGACTGTAATAAATAAAAGGATGATGACGTTCAAAGTTTAAAAGGAGGGTTGAAAGACTGAAGGTCTTCCAAATCACCAGTGAGTGGGAATCTTCAACAAACTGATGTTTTCAAGGAGATAATGCCATTTTTTGTCTATCTGTATTAGGCCTGGTACTGTTTACCGTTATTGTTAATGAATAAAGTAGTAAATGTAACGCTATGTAAAATCCTGCTGTCGTAGTAATTGGTAAATAACGGTGATGTAGGGCGATCGTATCCATTTACTTGGATAACTCAGGCAGCTCTGTCCATTCAGATGTGAATTAACACAGCTAAAACCAAGCAGTAAAACTAAGAAAAAGATTGAGGAACTGTCACTTTACTGATTGTAGGTGAGTATCTGAAGATGCAATATTCCAAAATAATGGAGCTAATCTAGCTACAAGCTGTTGCCAAAGCCAGCAGTCTGACTTTTCCTGTGTGCTCCCACTGCTTGCTTGTGCGGCACTGGTTGACTCGTGGAGGGTTGGTTCAGGAAGCCAAAATGACAGAGAAATAATCTCTCTTTTGAAGGATTGATTGGCTGAACTGAACTGTGAGGTGAGAGGGGAAAGAGGAAGGGGAATAATACTGGGAAGTGAACTGCCTTTGTTGATCCAGGCTGCGGTTAGACTGACTTAGCTATTGTAAAATTGTCCCTCGAGGCAGCCTTATGGGTAAAAAGCAAAACACACCCTTATTTCTGAGGAGAAGAAGGGATTTTATCTTTAGAACACTGTTTACTGAGCTATCAAGACTCACTGATGACCCTGTTTATGAAAAGTTAGGAAAGAAAACAACAACGTGGAAAGATAAGACAAGTGGAGAAAATGTTGTCTAGTGAGGGATGAAGATTCTCTTTGTTTACTGTAATCAGAAAAAAACCTAGGTGATTCTAGTACAGTTTAGATACTGGTTTTGGGAGGAATGATATCTAGGAAGATTGCTTAGTGGGGAAAAAATAAAGGAACCAAGTAGTGGAGGAAGCTGAGTAAAAAATTCAAATGATGAATCACTTTTTATCACTGACAGTTTTATTCTAGTGGCTAAGTTATCATTGGAAATGGTGAATTTTCTGTTTCCTAGTGTATCCAGATCAACATTACTGGTCATCTGAAAGCTATAAATTAGCCAGATGTGCAATATTTCAATCAAAAGCAGGTTATGAAGTTGAATGCAGACATCACTGCAGGAAGTGTTTAGCTTGGACAGCACAGGCTATTGTCAAATGATTGAAGAGTCACTTCGGAATTTAAATTTTGGGAACCAAAGTGTAAAACAACTATGCAATTTGTTTTACTGTTGTATGTCCCATTTTTTCCTTTCTTCTTTTCCAGAACAAAATTTTTATTCTTAATTTTTATTTTATTCCTAATTTCTGCATCAGGCCCACAATTACAGATATGGACAGAAAACCTCTGGAGTTTTGGGGGTCTGCTCTTAGGTATGTTTTGGCTGCATCTTGTCACATTCTTTCAGTGACAGTTACGTTAGGGCATCTACAGTTGTAAAGTTGATTCTTTTTTTTTTTTGGTCCAGGAGAGGAAGAAATTTGTTATGAAAGAGCAGAATTGAGTTCAAGAGAAAGTTGAACACCTCATGTGCAAGAAATCAAAAGTCTTCTGGGGAGTGGGAGGAGTAAAGATGTATCGTGCAGCAATAACGATGTGGAAAAAACTTTTTATAGAATATCTTATTCTTTGTTAGACAATCTGGTTATTCAGATGAAGTACTGAGGTTGTAAGATGCTTGCCTTCCAATGAATTGCACATTTAAATCGCCATTAACATGATGAGATTTCAAAGTCTCTTTAAAAATGAACTTTTCTTAAAACTACTTTTAAAAATGGCTTTTCAAATGGAGCAACAGTAAGCACAGTATCTTTCTGGTGGATTTGCCCTGTGTAAGAGTTCATTTGATTTTTTTTTGATGCTTCATAATTTCTTTTGTTAGTCTGGCCAAGCCAGAAGAGCTGTGAGAAGATTAATTGATACCTATTTCTTGGCCCTTATATTTTTAAGGGGTTTGGGGATGATCTGTTTCAAAGGCCTAAAACCAATTCATGGTGTGCCAAAAAGCTGTGCTACTTGCGGAATTTAGATATGTGTATTGTATGGAAGGGCAGGATGGCTTTATGGGGGAAGTGAAGGAGAAAGAACCACATTGGTGCTCTGCAGTTACGATTCTGTCGTACTGCAGTAAGGATGAGCAGGAAGATGCGCTTAAACACTTAACCCCTGTTGCATGTGTCAATTCTGTGAAGCAGTTAAAAATGCTTTCCAGGTAACAATGTTTTTTAGTGACTTCCAGTGTTTAATGTGGATAGAAATTGAGCAAAGGTGGAAACGGAAATGGAGCTGCAGATAGAGGACATATATATTAAGAAGTGGGTAGAATTTCATGCTACCTGCCGACTCTTGTATGTGCAAGGTCTAGTCTTGTTACGTTTGCCATAGTAATGTAGCACTTATTTTTCAGCTCAAACTGTTCATTGTCAAATATGCACTTCTTTACAATATTTTATTGAGTTATGCTGTGTTTCAGAACATTTCCATATAAAAGGGTATCTTCCTTCTAAAATTCACTGTACTGTAAAAGCTGCCTCTAAAACTTCAAACATCATGTAAATAGAAATTTTAAATACCATAAAATTGATCTGTGCTTAGGGAAGGGCTGGACGTAGTGGTTTAGGACAAGATTCTTTTAAAACAAATGTTCACTTCAAGCAGTTTAATGTTTTGTGTTTTTTCTTTTTTTCATTGTATTACTTGATCCTTTAAGCAAACAGAGGAAAAGCTTTACTTGGGGAACAGAAAAGTAATAGTAAACTGTTTGGTGACCAGTGTGACTTCAAAGTGTTACTTGCTCAGGAAGAAACAAAATCTGTAGTGTCATGGGAAAGAAAATCATTAACATTTATCAAGCTCAGCTGCTTCTTACCTATTCTTATTAAAATAAAATCATGTTAGACTGTAACTGTCTCTCCTAGAATTTCTATCAAGGCAGTCTGTTTCATGTAGTACTGTTGTATAGATCTGCTGGGCATTGTCTGTGGACTTCTCCATTTGGTATCTGAAATTCTTGCAATTTACTAGTAATTCTAGTAAATTACTAGGTACTAGTAAGTAGCTTCTGTGTATATTTGTGAAGGGCATTTAGTATGAAATAACTGTTATATAACTCAGGCAAGACTTTTCATTGCCTAAATAAACTTCAGGGAGTTATCCCTAGAAATGAATTCTTTCGAATGTCATTCTGTTTCAGTGGCTGATCTGTCACTAGAAGGTAGATGACCCACTAGTTTTACTATAGCCTGTAGACAAAGTCCTAGATGCGCAGCTGGAGCAGAGCTCAAAATAATTATCTGTTGCTTGAAAACACTCTTTGAATGCTTGTGCACTGTACTTTCCGGGGGATTGAAGTGTAGAACAGAGAACACTTGGTTAGAAAGGAATAGTGTGAGCTTTCTGTCTGAAAACTTCTAGTTGTCAAGCTGTGGCTGGTGTTTGGGTGGTTCATTGCTCTTGGAAATAGTTTGATCCAGAATTTTTGCTATGCTGAAAATGAGTATCGTGATATCCCAGTAATCTGCTATGGAACTTAGGTCAAAGTTGTTGTGAAATACAGGAGTCATTCAGAAAAAGATTACAAAGATCACTGCAAGTTTTATTGAATTGTATGAGAGAAGGCAAGGATTCTGTTTTTAATTGGCTTGCCAGAGTGATAGTGAAAAGAGAAATACAGGAGTTCTTTTAAACTGTTCTCTGACAGAGGATATCCTGAATGAATTTAATTTGATTGTAAATAATAGGAATTGTACATTTTGAGTATTTGGATGGGTAAATAAATAGACCTGATATATTCTATAGCCTGAATCTTGTGTTTTGTAATATTATGTACAGTTGAGGTACAGGTAAATGTTAACTAACCTATTGCTTTTTTTCCTCCCAGATTCCTCCTAATAAAATAGATTATGAATATAGTGAACTGATATTATATCAAAATCAAGTGATGAGAGAGGCAGATCTATTTCAGGAGTCTTTAGAACATATAGAGACATATGAAAAGCAAATATGTGATAAATTAATAGTAGAAGAAATCAAAGGTAAGTCTTTCTTCTTCCCTCAGCCTCTTTTGTTCTAAAATTTTGTTATGCCTTTCAGATATGATAGAGCAGTAAAAGAAAAAAACAGTGAAATCTTTAATTGATTTGAAACAATTACTGTAGGGGAAACTGGTAACACCAGACTTAAAATTTTGTGCTCAAGTAACTTACCCTACCAAAGTGGGTGATGGATGCAAGTAGTTTAAGTTGGATTGACACAGGAACAGAGGAGATCTTAGACGTTATTATATTGGTGCATACTAGAGTAGCTTTTTGCAAGTCAGAGCTAGTATAACCGAGTTTTAATCTCATGAAGTACTGTTTGTAGTACAAACACTGATATTTTTTTGACCAAAATATCAAATTCTTGTTTCCTCAAGGTTCCCAATGCACACACTTGTATTAACCTACTTAAGTGAATACTAAAGTTGACTTTTTTTGCTTAAAAATAACCCACAGTTGTATTGTGGGTTCGAAGTACTAGCACTGACTTCTGAATATGTGTGGTTAAAGTGTAATAGCCTGTGTTCTTCAGCGGCTCCTTGCTTGTGCAGTTGTGGTGGGTTGACCCTGCCAGCAGGTAAGCTCCATGGAGCTGCTCACTTAATTCCCCCAGCCTCCCTTGTCAGGACAGGAGAGAAAAGAGGAAGAGCAGTAGCAAGAGAACTCATGCATTGAGATAAAGATAGCTTAAGTGAAGGAAAGAGAAAAGGTGGTGGGGGTGGGAAACAACCCAAAACACTGAGATCTCCAAGCGATATAAAGGCAATCAATCACTTGCCACGTCCCACAAGCAGACTGATGCTCAGCTAGTCTCCAGGCAATGGCCACCTGGTGAAACACTCCTTCCTCTCGATTTTTATTACTAAGTATATCACTGTATAGCATGAAATATCCCTTTGGCCAGTTTGGGTCAGCTGTCCAGGTTGTCTCTGTTCCCAGCTTGTTTACTTTTCCCTGCTTGCTGGGTGGAAGAGTGGGGATAAAAAGAGAAAGCCTTGATGCTTTACAAGTACCACTTAGCAGTAGCAAAAACATTGGTGTGTTGTCAGCACTTAGTCACAAATCCTGAAACACACAGCACTGTATGGGCTGCTGTGAAGACAATGAATTCCATGCAAGCCAAATCTGATGGAACAATTTACTTAGTAGCAAACAAGTGTGATTTAACTGGTTAAAAACTGGTTGTTGGTGTGAAAAATACAGGTGTAGTTAAGTAAACAGCCTGGTAAGAAGTGACAGTCATATGCATTGGAGTCCTGGAAGGAAGAGTTGCTTGTTTCTTTGATAATCCCGATAGCTATTTTAAATACTCACATACAGACATTCAAATCATCTTTGTTTTCACAGGTGCTGAATGCTCCAAACTGTTGAGCTTGTATCTGTGGTAGCTTCAAGTAGCACTTTTAATAGTAAATGCCTTTGGAAAAGTAAAGCCTCTTTTTTTTTTTAAGTAGCTACATATGATTAAGCCCAATTTTATGTATCTGGTTTTGTAAACCTAACTCCCAAACCATCAGTATTTTCTCATGTAACTCAGTTCTTTACTGTGTTGTTTTTTAGGAGAGATGTTACTGAAGTTGGGAAGACTGAAAGAAGCTGGCGAAGTATACAGAGAGTTAATTGAGCGTAATGCAGAAAACTGGTATTATTATGAAGGCTTGGAAAAGGCTCTACAACCTAGTAAGTAGATACAAAGATAACACTGAAAATACACACGATATAGGATATATTTAAAACTTCTGTTTCATATGTTACTTGTTTAGGTTAAAAAGCTTTACTTGTCAGAAAATTATGTACCTTCTAATCTTGAATTTAATAAAGTTGTGGCTTTTATCTATTTTAAAAATGCTTATTGAAAAACTTATATGCATGAAAATACCAACAGAAAATCTTTTTCTTGGAGCTAAAGGTGGCATTTGCTAATGTGCTTACATGAAGAACATTTCCTTGCCACACGTGAACTTGGAAAGCAAATTGCAATTCATTCCTGTCAGTAGTTGATTGTCAGACTGCTGTCACACACCACAACATAAAATTGTCATTGTTAAGCTTGTTGAGGTGGTACCTCATGTAGAGAAACACTCAAATATTTATTTCAGATGACCTTTTAAAGATAGGCCATTTGAAAAAAAAAAAAATCTTAAACTGACTATTCTTTCGGAGGAAAAGGTGATAAATGTGGTAAAATCTTTATTATTCTATTGCAGTTCACATTACTGCTCTTCTTTCTTTCCAAGAAAATAGCTGATTTTTTAAAATTACAATATTGCAACAATTTATAATAAGCGTTTTGCAGCAGTAACTTTCCCAAGTGTTTACCTTTACACAGGAATGGTTTCCTTGTATTTTACTGGTCGCTAATTAGTAGAAGTTTTATTGGAGTTATTCTGATGACATCATAAATCATAAACCCACAAGGATATTATTCATAGATATTACAGCTGCATTATATTTCTCAACTAGCTTTCTAGAAGAAAGTTTTACAGTTGGATATCATAAGGTCTGGGAATATGGCTTGTGATTGGGAAATGAAAGTGATTACATTTGTTACATTTCTGTGGAGATTACTGTTGCCCTTTGAATGGTTTCTTAGTGTATCCATAGAGTTGAAGAGCATGATAATTACCTCAGTAAATAAATTGCCCAAGAACTTGATTATTTGGTTTGATAAATATGTTGATGAAAATGTGTAGTTCTTAACAAAGAACCAAACCAGTAGCTTATTTGACATATTAAAATCCTATATAGATTAAAACTGTATTAATTTATAAAACTAATAGTGCTACTTTATTTTTTAGGTGGTCTTAGGACTATTTCCTCCCCCATGGTAAGTTCTGGAGCTCCAACTTGTGACTTTAATTAGGGCTTTTATATGCTTTAGTTCCAATCCAAACATTATTTTAGTATAACTTTCAGAACTCTGTATCTCTTGTAGCCACTGTGTAACATATTCCCCCCCCTTCCCCAACATCTGAGCTCAGTGACAAGATAAATTGTTTTTCTTATGAAAGGAAAACAGATATATTTATTAAATATATATTGTCATAGTCTTGATCTGTACATTTAGTTTTATTTAAATAACTTGATAAATTTAATAATATTTAAGCAAAATTGATCTTAATTATGTGAAAATGCCGTTTCAAAGCAACAGATTAGTTTTGTTTAAGTTCTAACCACATTGGAGCTCCAAAGCATATTATGGGGGAAAGGGGAGGAGTGGGAAGAAAATCTTTAAGTAGCTTTATTTTTGTTAAACATTAAGGTATAAAGAGCTCTGGTGCTCAGTACTTAACACTGGCAGTATTGTGCCCTGTTTTTGCTGCCACCAGAGGACCAGTAATAAAGGTATGCTTGTGTAGTATGCTGTTTGTGTACCTATGATTTAGAAATGCAATATATTTCTCTGAATGCTTTAAGTATGCCTGGAATGGATGCATAGTGAAAAAGCATTTAATTCAAGCTGTGAATGTCAAACGGCTGTGTGAATGGGTCTGCACAGCATGTGAGTGAAAGAAACTGAACTCTGGTACTGTATGATTGAATGTGCAAGGTAATTGTCCTGTTTGCAGTTTATCCTCACAGTGATTAATGGTGGTAGTTACGTATTGCTTACACAGTGTGTTTTCAGCACACAGTTTTACACTGTGATGTTTATGATTAACTGGAAGAAATACCTCGAAATGTTTAAATTGTTTGAAATGCAAACTGTGTAAGTAAAGTCTAGCTAAATTAATTCTCAACACTTAAACATTCAGAAGAATAGATTTGTGTCTCTGTTACTTACATCTATTATATTTACCGATAATAGGCACTTTAGAAGAGAGGCTTCAGATTTATGAAGAAGTTAGTAAAAGACATCCCAGAGCAGTTTCACCTAGAAGATTACCTTTAAACTTTGTTTCAGGTAACAAGTTGCATATCTGTTTCATAATAGTTTATTTTTTTATAAAGTTTTCATGAGGCTGTTGAATGTGCACTTAATACCTGTTTGTGCATTTAGTACTGGTTTGTACATGTACACAAGTCAGATGTACACATTTCTCCTGGAATAGACAAAACTCTGTTGTGTTTTAGGAGTTGATAGAAGTTGTTCATGTGCTCTAATAGTCAGATACAAACTATGTAATGTTTGTATTGCTAAAACTACAGTACAGAATGGTTTATAGTTTGTAGGAATTTTAGTACATATTTTTTTCTGCATCATGCAAGTTAATCATAAGTTAAAAGGTAGAGGCTATAGTACACCTAAAGGAATAGGGATATGTGTATATACACACCTCCTCCTATATCTTTAATACACATATATACTATAAGCTAACTTACATTATAATATATAAACACTGAAACCAGATGTAAATGATACATGTAACAATTAGAATAGCTTAGGATTGATGAATTTCCTAACAGCTTTTGTACTGTGCAGTTTTTCTATGTGCAGGAAACACCAAATCTCTTTTATGACTATTTTATTGGGTGTACAGTGCTTTGTTGTAGAACCATTAGAACATAAACCTAACTAAGTTTGTGCTGACAACTTAAGAATAAGAACAAACAGCAGGTCTGCAGTGTTATGTAGGACAAATTATTTTATTTTTAATTTTATAGCTAGATTCTTTCAGTGACTCTGTCCTTTCAAAAGTTGTCTTGAAATACGGTGCAAGAATATACTCGGCTCAGGAGGGAATATATATGTGCTTTTTAAAACCGAAAGCTATGATCTTCCAAAATAGAAGGAAGGAGGCTAAATGAAATGGTAAATCCCATGAAAATGGACACTTGGTATGTAGCTGTCTAATTGGTCTAACTCCAGTAGAAAAGTTCTGGAAAGAAATGAGAAGTATATAAGTTATAAATTTCATGACATTTAAATATCTAAGTTGAGCTAGAATTCCCAGCATGTCTGCTCATGCTTTTAATTTCATGAGGTTAATTTTTTCACTTGTTGTTTACAGAGCACTGCATTTGTTCTACCATGAAATGATACAGAGCATGACTAGTCCACTCTTCTATTGTTGCTCAGGAGTCTGTGCATATGCCTTTCCTGTGTAAAATCACAAAATTTTAACTGCTTCGTAAGAGATTTAACCCAGACATTTGAGTTCCTTTGAAGACACAAGGGCAAATTTTAAGGCAGTTCAGCTACATTTGAAAAGCTAGGTGACAAGTAGTTTGTTTTCCTCCTGTAATAAAATTGTTATGGTAGTACATAGCAAACAAGTAAATAACCTGCAAAATGCTTTTCCATATATTTATTAATAGTTTTTTTGCTTTTGACTTCATTTTACTGTATGATTTGCACTAGGTTACCTTGTTGTATCTGACAGTATAGTTTCACAGCTGATGTTCATTTAAATAGAAAAATGTTTGATAATAGTAAGGATTAGCCGTTCCTGCTGTAGCAGTAGTCTAAATGAAAGCAAAATTCATTATTAGATCAGTCAAGAAAAATCTCTCAGGGTGCTCTCTGCAGTGTTTCATAACAAAGAAGAATTTTCCTAGATTAAAACTTGTGTTTCTGTTACTCTATTAAGCTTGTATCAGTCATGGATGTATGAGACTAGCGTTGATCCCCTAGAAGTTCATCTATTTGCTAAATGATATCTTGTGTTTATAAGTACAGCAGATAAGAATCTCTGTTGGCAGAAGTTAACAGTGAGAATGCGAAGGTGTAGAAGTGAAGTTGTTTGCAGAAACTTATTTGCAAATTTCAAGAAGACAGTTTTTGGTTGAATGACGTTGCTGTTCCAGCATGGTCAGTGATCAGCTGCTTGCAACCAACACTGTTTGGTTGGCAACTGGCTTAAGATGCTCTAAAGCACAGGCCTGTATTAAAAGGGAAGTCCTTTCCAGACCTTGCCATGCATTGCATCTTAATAACCTTGGATTTGATACAAATCGGCTCCTTCATCCAGCTGGAAACCACCTTTATGAAGGAGGGCTGTTACAGTTAATTTTCAGACTGATCAAGGATGAGGAAATGGGAGTCTGGCCATGCAGTTTTAGATTTGTTTATGCTGCTGTGGATTCACTCTTCCTGTGGTCAAGTCTTTTCTATGCCTCGGAGACTAAATTTTGAGCTTGCCTTCATGTCATAGGTGGGTGCCTAGCTGTGCATTTTGCGTTTTTCAGACTTTGTTTTAAAGCAGTTCTGCTTTCCGTAAATAAGTATGTACTTAATAGAAACTTGAATCTTCCTTTCCTAAATTCTGGATTACAGTTCTTCCATCAAGAATATAAAGTAGACGAATTCAACAGAAGAAATTGAGAAATAGATGGATTTTTTGTTATATAGGGGAGTTTTAGTGTGGGGAAAAAAGTTTTAATTCATCTACCTGTAATAAAGCATGTGCTTATAGTCCAGTTATGGATCCCCATCCACAGGTAGTAGGAGTTTCTGTATACAGCAGTCTGTTTTAGTACAGTGAGAATATGAATTACTTTTATTAGTCTCAGTAGCTGTACTGATAACAGTAAATGTAGGATAATTAAGAATTGGTGGAAGTACATAAGAATGCTATATAAAAAGCAGTAGTATCTTCATTTTCTGAATATCTAGAAAACAGTCTGTTAATCAGATTTGTAATGTGTTCTTAACAAATTGAAGTTTTTCAACAGTTTGTGTACCTTAGCGTATGTGAAGTGTACTACTTCCCTATTTAAAGACTTTAGAGAAGTCCACAACAGAGTAGGTAGTGAAGTGTAGTAACTTTATCCCTATGCAAAGCAAACAAAATCAATAAAAAAATAAAAAAAAAAACAACAAAACTGAAACAACTGAAAACAACGGCTTTTCATCATAGGAATAAAAACATGAAAGCCAGCTTTTTCCTTACTGATTATCTTCTTTGAAGTCCTGCTTTTTTGTTTTGAAACAGCATTTCTCAGAAAGGTGGCATACTGCAAGTATTGTAATTTTCACCTGAAAACATAATTAAATCAGATTTTTAGCTTTCTGCCAGTATATTTTGATGAAGATGGTTCTGATATGGTGCTTGTCCTTCTGAAACCCAGTCTTCTATTCTGTTTCTGATTCCAGAAACAATCATATTATCATCGGAAGTCATGTCCTACTCATTAAAAAAAATAGGACTAGAAGAGAGGTAGAGGGTTCATTTCATCCATCCTTCTTCCTCAAAGCAGGATAATTTGTATCTGCACTATTCCTAACACACATTTGTCTAACTTAATCATAAAAACTTCCAATGATGGAGCTTTTACAAGATCTCCAAGGTAATCCATTCCAGTGCTTAGTCATTGTTACTGTTAAAATCTTTTCAAATGTTTGTTTGAATAGCCCTTGCTACATGTTCTGTAGCCAGCACTTAATACTCTCTTTTTACAGGTTTGAGGACTGTTACCATGTCTTCATCAACAGTCTCCTAAACACTAGCAACTAAAGCATTTTACTCTGATCCTTCTTTTTATCTGGAGCATATTTGCATCCCATTCTTATGTAACAGGAAAGATGAAAACCTTTAATTGCAGTTTCTCAGTTACTCTGTTATCCAGAGTTGCACAGCAATTAGTGCTGATATTTATATAACACTTGCAATCACTGACATATAACCAAATACACTTTTGTTTCTAGGTGAAAAATTTAGAGAGCTAATGGATAAGTTCCTGAGGGTTAACTTCAGTAAAGGCTGCCCACCCTTGTTTACCACTTTGAAATCTTTATATTACAATCCAGAAAAGGTAAAATTTAGTATTTATTTGGTTTTAATGAAGTCTTCTATATTGAATTTCTTATAGACTATCTAACTGTTTATACAGATTTTCCTGTAACTCACCAATTAATGTTGCTGAATATTTTTCTCCTTTGTGTACTATTTTGTCATATGTGAATGATCACTTGACGATGCGTAATATGTGTGAAATGTCACTTCTGCAGACAGTCCATGTCAAAATGCTTGAAGTCAGATTGGCACAGAATGCACTGAAGTTCTTAAAATCAAAGATAACCAGTAACTTTATATATGTGTACTTTGAGCGCAAGAGTCAGCATTCTTTCAACTTATGGTTTATGATGTCACCAGAAGTTATTATTTTAAAATATCACACAGATGGCTACTGTTCTGTGTACATTTCTGAATTACATGAATATGTTAGGATTTACCACAAAGGCTTGTCTCCCATTTCAGTTTTAGCTAAAACTTTAGTGTTTAATTTTTGCACTTCTAAACTTTGTTTTGACCAAATTGTATTACATTAGAACTATTGTTTCAAATGTAGTTCTTTCATTCCAAGCTTGTCAGTAAGGTACAGTAAAAATAAACTTTTCAAACTAAAGCGTGTTACTAAAATGTGTAGAAAATAAAGGTCAGGTCAGTCTATTCAGATGTTGCCATCTTTGCCACAAGCAATAAAACTCTGGATGTTCTAATCCATTCTGTGACTAGGTAAGAAGGGGTTTTAGTAGCTGGAAAAACCCTAAATACGTGATGCAGCTTTTCAACCAGCAGTGGATATTCCTTTAATTGGAGCAAAATTATTCTTCTGTCTAAAAGTCTCTTTGCTGGAGGTCCTGAGTGTATTGAAGTTCGTATTCTGTTGGGAAAATGTAATCTGTGCTGTGTCTCTATGGTTGACATAATTTTAGTGAGTTCTGGTATCATGTATAGCACAAGCTTTTCTACAATGCCTATTGCTAATGCATACTTTCTAATGTAAGCTTTTGAAACTAGATTGAAATCTTTTAAAATTATGATAACACTGTCTAGACAGAAGTACTGCTGTGAAAGGTTTATTTCTGCTATTTGAAGTATGAAAATCTAGAAGTTAAGATAAATCTCGTTAAGATACTCGTCTGATGTATGGAAAGATTTTTAGCACTTACATTGTTTTTGATGTAATGGGTAAAAAAAAGACTGCCATTTTTGGGGCAGACGGGTCCGGAAAGGTGTGTTTCTCCTAGTTATCTTCATTGTATCTGATCAGTGCCACTCAGAACTGCCAGCTTGGTTTTAATTTTAATTGCTTTAGAATTAAGAGCCTCATCATTTCCAAGTATGCTTGGATTTGTTTGTGCTGTTAACTTCTGCAAAAACATCTTCCTCTTCTTTCTCATACTTCTCTTACTGAAACAGTGTCTCTTTCACATCTCACTTGATTGGGTTTTCGTGTAAATAAAGTAAACAGAAGGATCTTTGAAATGAAGAGAAACTTTAATTTTAGTCTCTGACAGTTAATTTTAGAATTGCTAAAATTTAGGGGTTAGGGGACAGAAAATTGTGACAAAATAATGTGGGCTAAACCTTTTGAGAAAAAGTATTTCAGTATCTAACTTGTCAAAGTCGGTGCTTAATACTAGCTTCTCACGTAAATTACTGGTATATTTTGACTGAAAATAGAAAGAATTGTAGTCAGGATCATGTTATGCCAGCTGGAAAATACCTAGCAAGTTACTGAATTCTCTACAAGTTGGAAATAAACAATTCCCCGTTATTTCTTTGGAAACAGACGTAATTTGGTGTAGTCAACTGCAGTTACGTTTTGAAGTGGCATAGATAAGAGGATTTTATGAGAGTTGGTATTTAAGCTTAGAAAGTTTCTTCTTTCTAGAACTCCAGGTGGGTCCAGGACCTTTCATAAGCCATGGTTTTGTGGAAAAGATGAAATAATAGATCTGTTTTGATTGTAGAGGGAACACAAGCACCTGTTATTATGGTTATTAAGTATAGATGTCTGAACCTGAAGGTGCATACTGTGTGTCCTGTCTGTTTCACTGGGGTGTGTTGAGAACTGAGTTCCGGAGTATGTGAGTACTTCCTATCTATGAAGCTGATATTGAGCAAGCTTTACCAATTGCTTCTAGAAAGAATTAATGAATATGAAAACTGGAGTAAGTGAAGTGCTAACTGGGTAGAGGAGATGTCACTTTTTTCAGCTACCTAATTGGAATTATTTTGCATAATTGTGTGAATATTAAGTGGAGAAGGGTGTGAAGTACAACTGGTTCTTCATCACTTGACTAAAGAATACACTTTACTTTAGTGAAAGAAGAAAGGTGTTTTTAATCTTCTATCACACTTAAAGGAGAACTACTGTTTAAGATCATTTGGACAGGGTCACAGAAGGGTACCATAAGTGGGAAAGATGACATGGTATAATACTGTAAAGCTGTTTGTTTCATGGAAAAAAAAATAATCTTGAGGCTATTGCTGGAAGAGACTTTCTTCGAGTAACCAAAGGCATGAGGATCTGAAATCTGTTCAGTAAAGAAAGATTAGGTATAGCTTTGTTTTTTGGCTTTCTCAAAGACTTATTTTGAGGTAATATAGAGTATACTTTTAATTGATTACAGACTTTGTTATGCAATCTGTCTTCCATAAAATTCTGGAGCAGAAAATAAAATGTGTTGGGCTTGTGTTTAGTTTGCGATGTGCAGAGGTTTATATTTGCCTGCACAACTGGGTTCAAAAGGAAACTGTTTAACATTTGCTAACTGCTTGAAACTTGGGAAGGTGATGGGGAGATGTACGGTGAAACCTGGGATGAACAGGCTAGCTGCATGTTTCATCGCAGTCTCAGCAATATTGTTTGTTACCTTCTAGGAGTGAGTTGTTAACCCATTGAGGTTTGAGAACTGTTTCGGAGGTACTTAAGGCAGACTTTAACTCTGGAAGCTGATGGCAAAGGCGAGGAAGTGTTAAGCCTGCTTTGCTGTAAGTTACTGTACGTGCTTCTGCAACAAGATCCAATTGCAGATTCTGTGGTCCTTCACTGCTTATTTCTGTCCCTAGTTTTATAAGGGAGTTATCCAATAAATTGTTCAATCCTTTAAAGTTCTTCTAATGAGGCTGTTGTTCTTAAGGTTTTGCGCTGTTATGCTTGTCTAAGTAGCATGTGAACTGTTTTTTGACTTACTCCCTCTTTGTCAGGCCACCTAGATTGTAGGAGATATAGGTAGCAGAGAGTGAAAGACGAGAAGTTTGAAGAAATAGAGCTAACAATTATCTTTTGCCTAGAAACTCTACTGCCATTTAAACTCCATCAAATGTATTGTACTGTGGATAGTGCATTTGATTATTAAAATACTGTATAATTTTAAAAAATCATGCCAGCTGTTCAGTATCCTGAGTGTACTTCTATACCATGCTGTAGCATAAAATTAATATTGAAATAAGGAAAAAAAATGAGGGGGGGCATTGAATTGCAGGAGGAAATGTTGGACAAAGGCCAACTGAAAAGGAGAGGTTTGTTTAATCGTTTCTTATGATAGTGGCAACTGAATTTTTCTACAGGTAGTATGGATGAGTAAGGATATCTTATGGAAAGAGTTCAAGTTCTTTCTCAAGTGATAATTGCTATTATGCTCCCTGCTTGCAGATACCAAAGGCATGCACTAATCACTTCCTGACTTGCCGCGTTGGTACACAGCCAGATTCTGTGTCTTTCCAACTGAAGACAAGATCAATTAGAGAGTGATAGAGGCTGTCAGACCGAGTCTTACTGTATTTTCCAGAGTGTCTTATTCAAAACAAGCTTGTAATACTATATAGACTCTGTTCAGTGCTACATCATTGCTGATTCTCAATCACAGATCACTTTTTACCTACAATGTATTAATGTTTCATCACATGATTTGTCTTGATGGCTTTGTTCTTACCTGTAAAAAAAAAATAGTAAGAATAATGTTCATTGCTGAATGCTCGTTTCATATGATTCAAAGCAGCTGTTGTACGTTGTGAAGAAATTGTCTGTGTCTTCCTTCTGTTCATATATATGGCAGCCTCCAGGGAAAGCTGTAAATATAGTTTGGGGCTTTTTAAATGTGGGAACTCTTGGTCATGATGAAGTAGCGTAAAGTGAGCGTGGTTACATAAAAGGCAAAGCTCACAAATGTAGAAAATACTGTAGCAGATTCTACTTACCTGTTAGGATTGAAGAAAGGAAAGGAGATGGCTGATCTGAACAAGAGCTGAGACCTTCCTATACAGGTTACTAATGTTAAGGAACAGACCTGTATTAACTTCAAAACACAGGTGAGTAACTGCAGACTTGCCGTAGTAATAGGCTAAATGTGAGGATGTGGCGAAGCAGGCATGCGAAGTGAAGCATCTATAACTGCTACTTCAGGGTAGACACCTGCCAAAAGAGCAGGTTGTGTATTCAAGAGTGAAATGAGGTTAGGCTGAGGATGCTGGCTACAGATATGAAGGATCTAATCATTGCTTCAGTACAGTCCTTCACTGTCATACTTGATTTTGGAGCTCTCGGTGGCACATACGGCATATCTCTTTTTCTGCCGTGTTCCATAGTGCAAATTCTAATAGACAATGTAACAGTTCTACATTTGGTGTTTTGTCGGTGATCATCTGCTTGTAGTCTCAAGTTAAGAGCTGTGTAAAGAATACTTTCAACTTTTTAGAAATCAGCGGTTACTTGGCCAAGCTGTTGATGTAGATATTCACTGAAGTTGAGTTTGCCCTCATCTAGTTGGTGAAGGAAAAGTGGTAGAAGAGATACTGATAAAATTCTGGTATAGTCATAATTGCATTCAGACCATTTGTCAGGTCAGATAGCTCACGTTCACATTGACTAGTTGTCTGCTGCTGGAGACAGTTTGTTTCAGCAAACCTGCTGATGTTTATAACGTTATACAGCGGGGACTATTGGTGTGGTTGTGGTGGGATTGGTGTGCTGTGCTCCTACTCTTGACCTCCTGTGTTAATGCACAACTGTTGGGAGGTGCTCAGTGGAGCTATTGTCTTTAGTGCTTGACAAATGCCCTGTGCCAGGCTTTAATGAAGTGCTGTATTTTGGAGATCAGTACTTCAGTTTTTAGTGACTGTTACTTATACTCACTATCCCAAGTACGTGTTGCCTTCCTGTACTCTATAGTGACAACTGCAATGGCATACATTTAAAGAGAAATTTTTTTAATGCTAAAATAGCCTGCTCTGCAAGGTGTTAACGCAAGTCCCATGATCTGTCATCTTCAGCTTGGTGTTTCAATTTATATCAATTCTGTGCAAGAAAAGTTCGTGATCTTTGTATACTCTGTGTGTTGAAAGTGAGAATAACAGGCACAGAATTTGTAGGACTAGCAGATGATGCTACTCAGGGAACTGACTCATGGGTGTGTGTGATGCCATTCGAAATAGATGATCCAAGGGCCCTGACTCATGGACAGAGTGGTTCACATTTCCAATTGTCTGTTCCACCCTTGTTGTTAAATTGCCACTTTTGTTGAAGGAACAGTGCAGTTGCTTGAGTACCAGTTTCTGAATCTGTACAGCTTTAAATTTCTACTCTTTTTTTGCTTTCTTAATATATTATGCTATTTATCTAAAAGTGCAACTGCTCAACAAACCATTTCTGCAGTGGCAATCTCTAGAATATGGTTGGATTGAACATGTGAAAATAAAAAAAACCTACTAGCTGCCCTCACTTCAAAAATCAACCTGCATGATTTGGGGAAAAAAAAATCGCATGCTATGAGTGGGGCCATGTATAGTGGGGACAATGTTGATAGTGTGTCTTGGAGAACTGTAGTTATTTCTGGAAAAAGTAGCTTATTTTACTTAAGAACGTTATTTAAAACATGTACTTCTTTTACTGTCTTTGGAGATTTATTCACTTGATTTTCTTGATCTTGCCATAAAATACTAAACTTCTGCATCACATCAATTCATAAACATACAATGGAGGTTACTTGCATTTTAAAGTGAATTTATTGTCTTTGTCATGGACTAAGTAGTAAGAATTGTAGATGACTAACTAAAATGAGTTAATTCTAAGAAATTGAGATATACGGGAGGGTAACAGGAGGCTATAATAAAAAAGCAGCTTCATCCTACATAAGGAAGCTTGTGGATTTGTGTTTTGGGTTTTTTTCGTTAACAATATCCTGCTTTCCTCTAGAACTTTGAAATGTTATCTAAACAAAACATGGCTTTTAAAAATGTGAAAATAGTGAATGGAAAGCTTCATTTTCAGGATTTCTGGAGGCTTTTGGAATAACCGCTTAAAGTATTGCTATATGAATGAAAATTTTGAAATGTGACTGTACGTATGTTTTATTTACATGCTAAGAAACATGGAGCATCTACAAGGAAAATGCCTCAACACAATATAGTCCGTGTGTACATGAAATACTTTGATATGACTGTCTTAATCCTTTTCTCTGGTATAGAGGACTTACTGTCTAGCTACTGGGCCTATGAACTATCTAGCTACTGAACTCTTCCTCTTATGCTACAAGTGGTTTTATAGTTTTTATTCTTTACTTTGTGCTTTAGTTTCTGAAGTCTGTTAAAAAATGGATATCAAAGTAGTCATTCTCTGAGTCTTCTGTAATGCTAAACCTTTAATTTAGAAAGCCTGCTACATAGCATGGAGGCTTATTAACTTTCTTTTATCGGGCTTCTTTTAGTTTCTAAATAGCAAGTATGCTTGGCTACCCCAAACTACTTTTATTGTATTGATGTCTTTTGTACTTGAATAAAATTCACACAGTTGGCACAATACATCATCAGGAAGAAGCTGTAGTGCTTTTGGCATATTCAAGAAGCAACAGCTTGTGTTTAGGAGTGCCACTGCGTTGTTAAGAGTTTTGTTGTTCATGCGAGGTTACTGTTCAAGGTGAATGTAGCTGTGGCTCTCAGCAGAATGTTTTTACTGGGAGCTAATAACCTGAAGTATAAGCACTTGCTTGAGAATATAGTAATCTTCACGTTCTGTAAGTGGCTGTCCACGTGTATTAGAAATAACTGCAAACAGCCTTATTTGCTGTTGTTCCTTATGAGAGAGGGATCTAGAAATGCTGCTCCCACTTCCCCCTGAAAAAATTCTCTTTGTACTTGAGCAATATCCAGAAATACTCCTTGGTTCCCCATACGTGCTGGTCTCTCTATCCATGAGATAAAAATCCAAAGAGTGAAGATCTTCAATTAGTCAACATCAAGGTTTGCGTCGATTGTGTTGCAGGTGTGTTCGTTGATTCCATTGAAGCTCGACATTAGTGCACATGTGCCCTTTTTCTGAGTAACTAAAAACATGGAGACTGTGAGGAAATACTGGATGAGAGAAAATGTCTGGCTGGAAGAAGCATCAGAAACAACAGTCTCAAAAAAAGGTGTAAGACTGTCTACACAGGAAGGTAGGCTGTGTCCAGTGAAGATCTTTCTTTAACCCTTTCAGGAAAGAAGGCATTTGCACTCTTTGATGTGGAAAGCTAAAGGCATTTAATGCAACTTGCAGCTGTGTTTCTAGTTAGATGCTCTCTGTGTACCATTGGTGGATTACGTAAGGAAGTGAAAAACATAGTTTTTAAGAACACTTTACACTTTAAGAAGAAATAGCTCTGTGAGATCAACCAAGGACAGGCTTTTGTTCATACTGACTCTGTCAGTTCAAGTTTTAGAAAGTAGTGTCTGAGTTAAAATTCCCTGAGGGAAAACTTGGTAAGTGGATTTGCTCAGGATCTGGTTATTAACTGGTACATTCATAGCAAAACATAGCATTTGTTCTATATAACTATATCTTAAGGAGGAGTAAGAAGACTTTAAAATAAGCAGAAGAAGAAGAGTGAAAAACTTCCTTGTAGGTACTGCCAGGATAGGATGCTTCCACTCTGTAATGAGAATGGATAGTGTAAAACATGTTGATGGCTCACAATTTGGGTCCCTGAGGTAACATGTAAGCCAAAAGCTGACAGGTGTAGCAGCTGGCTTACAAACTATCAAGAGAGCTTTTTTAAGTCTGAGTGGTCTTCATTGGGAATAACTGCTCCATATGCCCATCTGAAGACCCACAAGAAATGCTCTCAGCATCTCTGCTCATAGTTGCTGCTATTGTTGCTCTGCTCATTAAATTATTTGCTTTTTGTGCATTCTCCAGACTTGTCCAAAAACTTTCAGAAAACTGGTTGCCCATTAAATCAGTTGTGTGATGACCACAGTGACATCTTACTTAGAGCATTGGTTTGCTCTGAATTTTTGTTCTTACGAGCATCTTAAAACTTCCAGTACAAACTTGTTTACTGCAATTGTTTACTTACTCCATTGTGTCAGTGGTTTTATAACTGGATCATTAGGAGTAATAGTAAAACTGGAAAGTCAAATGCTCTAAGATGACGTGTTTTTCTGAATGTGTTTACATCCTGTGGTATAATGCAAATTTTTTGTTTGGCAGTTTTCTCATATGCTGTGACTTATGTCACGTCTCACAAGTTATTAGTCTTGACACAGTACAATAAAGAGGAGAAGTATTATTCATATGTCACGTTTAAAACAGGCAGTAAGATGTCAAGGCCAAATTCTGCAGGCATTGATCATCTGGAGTGATGATCAGTGAAAAAACAGGAGTTCTGTTTTCAGGGATGTTTATCTTCAGAAGCATTTGCTGACTTCAGTTGATGTGGAATGCTTGGCATGTTAGAAAGTCTGGTTATGGAGGTTTTAAGGCAATATGAAAATGAAAGCAAAAATCTGGCTTGTGTGTGTCAGTACTTTCATAGAACATTATCCCATTTCTTTCCCATTTCATTCACTCTGGTCTATGTTAAATGAGGCAAGCACTCTTCCAGAGAAAATATGTAACAAAATGCTTTATATTATGTTGCTTGGTGTCTGTATTTCTCTCACTTTAGAGTGGCTCTTTGATTTGTACCTTACAATCTCTTTAGTGTAATTCGGACATGTGGCTGCTGTTAGAACAGTAAGTCTGAGCTAGCCAGTCATCTCTGAATTTTGTTTTTCTTCTGTACTAGGCTCATATCAAGAAAATATACGTTGTTTTAACTTACCAGATATTTGCAGTTCACTATTAAGTGTAGATTAATTTGGGGTGCGGTGGAATGAATTTAAGCAAATGGGTAAACTTCAGATCTTCAGTCCTCCATATGAAGTGCTCTCCTAGCCCAGCTTTTTGATTTATGACTGTCTAACTATAAGTCCGTTTCATAAGGCACCATCATGTCTGTAACAGTATGTCTGAGGAAAAATAATATCCTATTTATAGTCTGTTTATCCTTTTGGGCTAATTCCTAGATGAAAGATGTCTAATACATTTAAGCAATGTGCTTCTTCTAGAAGTCTGTCTTTGTGTAACTGGAAATAGCAGGTAAATGAGTAGGCTTCTCTAAATTATATATAGACTTCAGTAGTAGACTGGCACGTTAAATTTCTATAGCTTATTTTGAAAAAGCAGTGAAAGACAAGTGTTTGGAAGCATAAAATCAGAAAAGAAGCTTAAAAGGCAGGCCTTTAATAGTCTTTTGTGCAGTCACAAGATTTTTTTTTTAATTGTCGTACATTTTACAGCTTGGCCACTGTGGAGGAGTTTTCATGGGGACAGTAAGTCTGTTATGACTGTGGTGGGATTTTTCTGAACTGTAGGTTCCTGCACAAGTTTTCTAAATTGTGTGACTTCTCACTGACAGTTTGTAAACTACTGATCTGTATTAGCTTTCACTTTGAAAAAACATAGCTGATGGAGAATCTGATATGAACATCATAGTCAATATTTGTGATACAGCTGAACACTAATGTTAGTACTCAGAAGTGTTCTGTAGCTTTGCTATAGTTGATGTATTTGCTGCACCTATAGTCAATATACACTTTCATTGAAGTTTTCTTTCAGTTTTTGGAGGAAGTTAATATTATATTGATAATATACCTAGAAGTGTAGTTGAATTTGAAAAAATATTCAATTATTGTAGCCATACTTTTTATTATTTTCTGAATGGAAAGATGCTATACTTTATGGAAAGATATGAGCAATTTTGACAGTTCCCAGCAATCTCAAAGTTAGGATTCCATTTCCAAGTTTGTTTATAAAGATATTCAAGGAGTATCGCTTTTAAAATAACTTTAAATGAGTTGGTTTAATATTTGACTTGTCAAATTTGAAACATTTAAAATTCATGACTGGCTCTTGTTTTCATGACAGCTCCAAAGGAGCTTGTGCAGTTGTACTTTAGCACGTGTATGTTTACACATTGAGACCTTTTCAAAGCAGCAGTAAACTCTTTAATGAAGAATGCTCTTCTTGTGACTTGTTTGCCATTCTGCTCGAGTAGTCTGCTCTCTGCAAAGTCGGTGTACTGAGCAGCTTTCCCTTTGCTGGGAGTTCTCTAAGAATAGCTTTCAAGTGCAAAGCCTGTTACATATGGGACAAAGTATATTTCCAGTGCAGATGTTGAAGACAAAAACTGTTTAATGCAGTCACATGTTGCCTGGTTCAGTCAAAACTACAAAATGATTGCAGTGTTTATCAAAGGTTACTTGTACTATAAACTTTCTAATTCATTATACTTGTACAAAAAAGTAATAGTGCTGTTTCAGCAGAGCAGGTATACAAAATACCATGTTACGAGTTACAAATGCAAATAGAGCTAATTTAGGTAGAGGAAGCTTTTTCTTCTGGAGTTTAGTATTTCAAATAGCCTGTGTGTTCATTGGTGGTATTGACACTAGAAAAAAGTATGACTTGTTTTATTTCAGGAGTAGCTGTTATCAGTGCTAGCAGCAATGGACAGAAACAGTAATCTTCACTTGCACAGTGAGTTAGTGTTATCTTGAAATGCTAAATCAGAGTAGGATTTGATGATGTGTATAGCCAAGCATCTGCAGGTGACACAAACTCATTGCAGTGAGGAGATACGCAGTTTACTCGCAATGATGTGTATCATAAGGCACACCTCCATACCTAATCCAGGGCAAAAAGGAGCTCTAGTTATGCTTGACTTACACTCAGAATTTCAAGTTTGTTATATCTGATGCTATATTTCACGTTTGAAAGAGATTACAAGTCATTAATGGAGGTGGTTAGTTGTAAGGAACTAAATGTAAAGAAAAAACTAAAAGGTAATAAAGCTGTTGTATCTCATTCTTTCTACGAAAATATACAATAAACCACAATATATGAACTTCCTTAGAGTGTAGATCAGCTCTAAAGAAACATATCGAACAGAAGACTATTTATTTTACTGCTTACAAAACATGTGAATGATTTCTTAGATGGTCAGGGAGCAAAGAAAATGTATAGCTTTACAGGGTTGTAGGATGGATTAATTTTTTGCTTTTTATTCATTTTGTTTTAAATACAGTCTTGCAGAGTTAAGGCTTTGTGGCTAGCCAGTCCTTACAAGCTGGTAGCTCTTTGGTGACATTGCTGAGAATTGTCTGCTTAGCTACCACACACTGAGAAATGCTGAAGTTAGTGACTAAACATGTAGGATTAGTTTTATAGAAAAGTAAATAATAATTTTCTAACTGTGTCAATATGGCCAGTTGCAAACTGACTGGAAAAGGTGTTTTTATGGGTACTTGGGGTTGACTGTAGAATACCTAGGTTTCCACTGGAAGGGGGTGCAATATTTTATGCAGCTGCTTAGCAAACTGGAGCAAGAAACAGATCTGAATGAAAACCCACAGATTTTTTTGGGGACAGTTGACTATCACTTAGGTCAATTTAAAATTACTCTGAAACTTCCCTTTAGATTTGTGTTTTACTGAAAGTGACAGATTTTTTTCTTGCTTTGTGCATGTGTGAGCATATGCACTCTCTTAATGGTGTTTTTCTTACGGAAGCAGGAGTGAGTATTGACAGCTTAGTTGAATAAAATTAAAAGTAGAGATGCACCTACTTCTGAACTGCTTTTAGTTTCAAAGCAATGCTTTCATTGGTGTTACACAATATTAAAGCCTCTTACAGAAACAAACTTGGCATCTGTATATGTCAAAGCTATATAAGAAATTTAAGGAGACTTGTGTTTAAGTAGAAGGCAGCTTCTTGTGTTTTCCTGTTTCTACTTTCATGGCATGAGGTGATAAAATAATTTTTAATTGATTGTGATTTTTATTGCATTCAGATGTTAGCCATACACTGAAATGTAAGCAAAGGAAATTCTCCATATGAGGCTGAATATCCTTTCAAAATTTGAGTAATTTATTTGAATAGCCTTTATGGGTTTGTTCTGTGGTTTATACCTCATTGAGTGGGGTAAATCTATCAGCCATAAAAAGTTGCGGAGCAGAAACATTTCAAGTGAGACTAAGGAAGCTATTGCAAGTAAGTTACTGTATACCTGCCTTGAGTAAAAATGGAAATGATCAGTCATTTGCATACCCTACACCTTTTCTTTTTCACGCTCATAA